TCTATATAGTTAAAACTAACTATAATATATAAAATAATAAGTTTATAGAGCTAGATTAACTATATATATATATATAGTTAGAAGAAGAAAGCTCTAAAAAGAAAATTTTCTAACTTCTATCTCTTATTATACTATACCTAGAAGAGCTAGCTCTATAAAAGTTTTCTAGAAATCTTTATTATATTATAAATACTATATACTATAAGTTTTATATATTATTATAGAGATATAATAGTACTAACTAGAAGTAAAGTAGATTTTTTTAAAAGTTACGTAAATACGTATAGCTTTTTAATTATATAATACTTCTTAGTATAACTTAACTATAAGGTGTAATATTCTATAGAGAATATATATAGATATTTCTATAGAAAAATATTAAGGTTTCGCTTAGTTATTTAAGAAAAACCTATTAATTTTTATTAATTTTCTTGCTAAGAAATTTATAGGTAGTTTAATAATATAGGCGATTTAATAATATAGTATATTAGATAGTCTATAATTAGAGTATTTAGGTTTATCTAGTATAGAAAGGTTATAGAAGACTTATAAAAGGTCTAGAACTATAGAGACTTAGAGTAGCGTAAAAAGGTCTATAGAGTAATAGTAGTATTAGTAGTACTATAAGTTAAAGGTTAATATTATCTCTATCTAGTCTATACTTAGATTAGCTATAGTAAGCTAAGAATAATAAAAGTTTTCTAAGCTAGAGTAGTAATAAAGAATAGATAGTATTTATAGTAGTTACTAGTTACTATTAGTAGAATAGTATAGCTAGTAACTTAGTTCTTTATTTTTCTATTTACTAGAAGAAGTATTTATAGTACTAGTATTAGCCTTATTTCTAGGTAAAGTTTAGTAATAAGATTCTTGCTAATAAATATCTATTCTAAGTATCTACTATTAATAAGTCTATTAACTATCTTAGAGTTATAGTACGCAAGAAATAAGGTTATTTAAATAAGTAATAATTTACTATCTATAAATCTAAGTTATAGTAGCTTTTATTTAGCTAGAATATAGTAAATCTAATATATATTATTATTCTAGACTAACCTTAAATTCTCTATTAACTTCTAGTTATAGTATTAGCTAGAGGTTAGAAGTTTTCTAGAAAGCTAGAGTTTAACGTATTTATTAAGAGTATAACTATAGATAGTAGTATATTTACTAGAGTAGTTAGGCTTAAAGTAGAGCTATTAGTTTCTTCTTCTATAAAGCCTTATACTTAGAATAGGTTATCTAGTAGAAAGTCTTATAGAGAATAAAGATAGAAAGACTAGAGTAAATACTATAATTAGAGTATATATAATAGAATTTAAAGAATAGTTTTATACTCTATTCTAGTTAGTCTAAGCTATCTATACTTAGTATTATTTTATTTTTTCTTTGCGTAGTTATTCTAATTATATTCTATCTACTTATAGTAGAAATAGAGACCTTGCTAGATATATTATTCTTAGGTTAGATAGTTATTCTAAGTTAGATTCTAGAATAGATAGCAGGCGTCTAATTATATAGTATTAGAGTCTATTACTATTATATTAGAGAATATAACGCTATAGAAAGTTAGTAGCTCTTAGGTTTATTAAGTAGATTTAGCGCTAGAGTAATAAGCTTATAGTTTATTAATATAGGCTTTCTTTTATAAGTTCTTCTAGCTCTTCTAGTATTACTTATACTATTTATTAATATTATCTAGTTCTAGCTTATCTAGGCTTACTATAACTACGTTAGAGAGCTTCTAGAATATCTTAATCTTAAGTAAGTTAACTATCTACGTATTTATCTTTCTAGCTATAGTTATAAGTTAGTTATACTTAGCTTTAAAGTTAGACTATAGCTTATTCTTTATCTAGTTATTTTTAAAGTTAATTTTTACTTATTATAATAGATTAACTAAGATATAGATCTAGCTTATACTCTCTAGAATATTCTCTAGACCTTACTATAGCTAGAAAACTAGATTATTAGAGTTATTAGTAATTATTTTAAACTTTAGTTATAGTAGACTATAGGTATTATCTTTTAGATATTCTATAATATACTATAGCTAGTAGAAACTAGTATTAAAGATATAGTTATCTACCTTAAAAACGTAGTAGATACTAAACTACTATATCTTAAACTATTATTAGCGCTTTAGTATATTCTTCTTATTATTCTTAAACTTTTCTAGGTTCTCTAAAATATAGCGTCTACTACTACTATTAGTATTATTATTTATAAGCTTAGTAAGAGTAGTTATAATAGTTTTAATCTAGTACTACTTCTAGTTATTTTTAAGTTCTATCTAATTAAGCTTAGTCTACTATTTAGTACCTTTAGTCTCTATCTAATTTATTTAGTATATTAAGGTATTCTTAAGTATAGAAAGAAGAGCTATAAGAGCTTTAGCTTATAGTACTAGGTTTTATTCTAGATCTAGTAATATAATAAGCTTAGTTAGCTTAGTATTAATATCTATAGCTATTATTTACTATATTAGTAGCTAGAATTATATATAGTTAGTAAGAAGCTTTTTCTACTACTACTATTACTAATTACTTACTATAGTTCTAGAGTCTAACTAGCTTTATAGTTTTTCTAGAAACTTAGAAAAGACTAGACTATATATAATAGCGGCGTAGTTCTTAGTTTCTTTCTAGGTCTCTAGTATTATACTAGAAAAAAACGTTATAAAATAGTAAGGTCTTAGATAGAATAGTATAAACTATTATAAAGTAGATAAAGTAGTAATATAATACGTTATACTATAAGAAGTAGAAGACTTAGTAGACTATAAGAAAAATCTATATAGGTGCTAAGACGCTAGCTATAGTTATATAAGTAGTATCTAAACTTAAATCTATATTAGTATTATAATAGTATAGAAAGATAGAAAAATACTAAAACTATTTTAAAATTATTACTTCTAAATATATAGTAGACTTATAGTATATATAATTTTATAATAACTTCTAAATTTCTAAAAAGCTTATTAAATATATAAGCTTATAATATATAGCTTTATATAGCTAGATTATTAATATCTATATATAGTTAGAGAAGAAAACTCTAAAAAGATTTTTTTTAACTTCTATCTCTAATTACGCTATATCTAGAAGAGCTAGCTCTATAAAAGTTTTCTAGAAACTTTTATTATATTATAAAAACTTTATATAATAAGTTTTATATATTATTATAGAGATATAATAGTACTTACTAGAAGTAAACTAGATTTTTTCTTAGAAGTTAGTTAAATACGTATAGCTTTTTAATTACGTAATATATCTTAGTATAACTTTAGTATAAGCTATAATATACTATAAAGAAAATATATATAAATTTTTATAGAAAAATATTAAGGTTTTACTTAGTTATTTAAGAAAAATAAGTTAATTTTATTAATTTTTATTACTAAGAGAAAGTAACTAGCTTACTTATATAACTAGCTTACTTATAAAGTATATTAATTTAGAAAAAGATTATATAGTATCTTAATTTATTACTAACTTATATTATTAAGTTACTTAATTAGCTTAA